TAGGAAGCCTTAGGCTACTTACTAGGTTTAAATATTGGACTGAATTGCAAGCAACTGTATTTGTAACAGCTGTTCCACCAAAATGACTTACTTAACTCACTGCCCACCTGAAATGATTATTGAATGCATTATGGAAGTAGTTGTGGAAAATTGAATGTTCCATTCTGGGGTTCCTGCAAGATAAGATCGAGATAGGGCTTAGCGCCGAAATGCTCCGCAGCCAAAAAAAAAAAAAAACACTGGACTTGTTCCTGCCTGCTCTCTCCCATCTTCTTCAAGAACTCGAGCATTCCACCTTCTATCCTCTATCTAACATCAATCAAGGCAGCGGAGGCCGAGCTATTGGACTCACTTACTCACCAGTGTACTACCTGGATCGGTTAACACAATGGCGGGAGGAAGTCTGATCCGAGAGCAAGGAATCATGGTTCTGGCTGGGGTAGATGGGCCCGGTGGGTCAATGGCAAGAAATTTGTTCACGCCATCGCCTATGAGTCTGAGGGCATTTTGCATGGGCTCAGGGAGTCCGCTATCGTGAACAGCGCTCATTCTCTTCAGGCGCTAACCACCCTCGATTCGCTCGATCGGTTTATGATCCGTGAGCCTGAGAGAGTGGATCAAGCGGTTTTCGACTCCACCAGTCCACCTCGCTTCCCCAGAGTCAAAAATCTACTTACTCCACCTTTTGTGTGCAAAGAACCTGGCAGCAACCTGGTAGCAACCTGCAATCTACGCTCTGACTGCGACACACACCAGGATGGCAACCACCACCATCACCAAGACTCCTCCAGCACACTCACTGCTACTGGAGGGTAGCGATGTCCCGTCCTCTGAGAACGATAGTACACGCTCGCCTACCGCACGGAAGTTCCGCCTCCAACAGTCGGTGGTGATAGCCCAGCTGTCGGCCGTCACGCTTACCGCCAGTGTAATCAATGGGCTGGTCGTGGTCGGTCTGCCGACGATCACCAAGGACCTTCAGCTGCCGTCCTCGCTCTCCTTCTGGCCCTCGTCCGTGAGCAGCTTGGCCACCGCGTCCACCCTGTTACTGGCGGGATCCATCGCCGATGCTATCGGCCCGCGATGGGTTGAGCTTGTCGGCTCGTTCGCCAGCGGCCTATTGATGATTGGGCAAGGACTGTCTCGCAACGGGGATGAGCTGGTCGTGCTGCGCGCCCTGCAGGGCGTCGGGCTGGCGTTCCATCTCGCCTCGTCGATCTCCATCATCACGCAGCTCCTGCCTCCCGGCCAGGGCCGCAACCTCGCCTTCTCCTGTCTGGGTCTCAGCCAGCCCCTTGGCTTTTCCTTAGGGTTGGTCGTCGGAGGCGTGCTCGTGGACACCATCGGCTGGCGCGCGGGCTGGTATCTGGCCGGTGGAATCACCCTGTTCTTCGCGGTCGTCGGCCTGTGGGCTGTCCCGCAGAGCGAGACCCATCGACACGCGGACTTGATGCATAATGTCAAGACGCAGATCGACTGGGTTGGCGCTGGGCTCGCATCGGCCTTCATGGCGTTGGTGTGCTATCTGTTGGCGTGAGTAACTCCCCAGGCCCGTGTGGACATCTACTATTACGTCCCAGCACAACGGCTAATTATCAAAACAAAAAGCATCCTGAGCGCCGATCCATCTCGCATCCGCTCCGCCGAAGCAATCGTCATCCTATGCGTGGCAGCCGTCGCTCTCCCCGCGTTCGTCTACTGGATGCACCACCAAGTCAAGCGGAACAAACCAGCTCTCATCCCCAACTCCCTCTGGCGCAACAAGTCCTTCAGTAGCATCAGCGTCACGATCGCCGTTTCCAACGCCGTGATCAACTCCATGGAATTATTCGCCAGTTTATAGTACGTTCCTTTCCCTTGGCCCCTCCTCCCCAAGCAACCTTCAAGTCTACCCCCAACCCCCATCCCCCAACAACTCACTAAGAAAAACAAAAAAAAAAAAACAGCTTCCAAGAAATTCAATCCCTCTCGGCCCTGCAAGCCTCCATCCGCATCCTCCCCAGCCTGGTCATCGGCATCCTCATGAACTTCGTGATCGGGGTCTTCGTCCACCGCGTCCCAGCCTTCTGGATCGTGACGATCACCTCCATCCTCTGCGCCGGCTCCCCCCTCCTCATGGCCCTGATCCAGCCCGCCTGGCCCTACTGGGCCAACGCCTTCATCGCCCAGCTTCTGCAGCCCGTCAGCTTCGACGCCCTGTACACGGTCGGCCTGATCATTATCACCGACAGCTTCCCCGACACGACGCAGGCGCTGGCCGGCGCCGTGTTCAACACCTCGGCGCAGTTTGGCAGCGCGCTGGGCATGGCGGTGCTGCAGGTGATTTCGACGGTGGTGGCTGCCGACTCTCAGAGCAAAGAGGAGAAGCAGGCGTTGATGGCCGGCTATCGGGCGAGCTTTTGGACCATGTTTGGGTTTATGCTTGTTTGTACGGTCGTCGGGTTTGTGGGGTTGCGGAAGACGGGGAGGGTTGGGTTGAAGAGGGATTAGGGGGGGGTTTTTTTTTGGTGATGGGATTGGGGAAGGGGGGTTTGGTTTACGGGGGTGGGCTGCGTCTGGATGGGTGACTCAGAGGGTAAAAAGTATCCTTGTGTGTAGGTGATTTTTGTGTTGCTAGGTGTTTGTTTGTATATACTACTGTACTGTTGAGATGGATCGTGGTGCGTCGTGTGGAGTGTATTGTTACTTATGCATGTCTTCTCTATTGTTTTCAGCTTTCATCTACATACGAAAGGTGTTTTCAAGGTCATAACATCATTTACAAATTAGCTAAAACTACCGGACAACCCGATCATGACTACAGGAAAGTACACACTAATCACCCAACCCAATACACACACCCATGGACAGGCTCGTGCAGCAGCAGCAGCTACAGCCTCTTCTCCAACTTCTTCAGAAATCGGTTCACACTGTTCTCCACCCGGTACGCGCTCTTCACGAACGTCTGCGGCCGATCCCCGGGGTTCTTCATCGCCTCCTTCGCGTACTTCTGGTGGCGCGAGGTCGCCTCCGCCTCCGTGGGTCGGTACATCTGTCGGTGGACGTCGTACTCGGCCAGTGCGTTGCCGCCGGCCACGGTGCCCGGTTGCTCGTACGAGTAGTTCGAGTAGCCGGCTATCGCGACGGCCGGGTGGATGGGAGGGGGTGGGGTGGTCTGGGGGTGTTGGTACTGATATTGGTTTGTGTACGGGGTCTGGGGCTGGGGCTGGGTTTGAGATTGGGTTTGTGGAGGGGGTGAGAGGGGCTCGGTGGGAGGGGGTGCGAAGGTCATGGCAGCAGCAGGGTTTGCATTCTGAGCTGTTGCGTCCGTGGGGGGTGGTGCAAATGTCATGGTGGTTGCTTGCGGCGGCCCGGGCGGTCCAGGGAGCGAGCCCGTGCTGCTGAGTGAGCTGCGGGGCTGGTGCTGCTGCTGGTATCCTGGGCTTTCGCCGGAAAGGAAGGCGGTCGTGTACGACGGGACTCCAGGGGGGCTGGCGATGGATGCTGATCGTGTCACCGAGGGAGAAAAGCTCAATCCCGTGCTTGGCGGTGGAGAGGCGTAGGTTCCTGGCATGGTAGTGTGGGGTCCTGGCGAAGCAGGCGAAGAGATCAGGGAGGAAAGTCCCGGGGACACTGGTGCTGCAGAAGAGGGAAACGGGAATCCTTGGTCGGGTGCAGCGGCGGCGGCCGCGAGACCCGTGCCATTGGCGTAGTCTTCTGGAGGAGGGGTCTTTTCGCGGTGCTTGATCGGCTCCGGAGCGGCGGGCGCGGCGGGGTTGTAAGGAAGGGGAGCGGATTGAGGGGCAGGATCCTGATGTTGCTGTTCAGTCAAAGGAAAGTGAGATCCGGTGGGAGCAAGGGTGGACGACATTGGAGGCGGAGGAGGGAGGGTGCTTGATGGGGTAATAGCCTGGTAGTTTGATGCAGGGTTGGCGACCACTTCTGCCTGAGAGTTGCGCGTCTGTCCGTTCTGATATGCGGGGTCAGTGATGGCCACCGTCTCCAGCTGTTGGACTACCGAGCTGACGGTACTCTGAGGTGGAGGGGGATATGGGTGTCGGTCGGTTTCAATCTGCGCTGCGGGCAAATCCCGCTCGATGATATCGAGAAACTGGTTCGCATCCTCCACGGTCCAGAAGTAGATGTCTAGCGTGTGCAGGCGCACCAGGCTCTGCAAGTCATCGTCGACTAGCTCCCATTCAGCCGCGGTGCCTGGTGGGGGAGGAAAAGCAGGCGCATTCTGCGCCGCAGTTTGCGACTGCCCGTCTACCGTTACTGTGCACAGGGTCGGGAATTGGGTTGAGTGTCGCACGTGGATCTTGTCCAGAGCTACCAGCATGCGTCAGTGAATCTAAGCACAGTGTGGAAAGATGGCAGCCTTAGCTAACCTCCATTGAAAGCGTCTTGGTCCGGGGTACCCGGGTTATTTGCGACTTCGATTCTGATTCTGCGCTGGGTGGCGCTCTGGAAGAGATATAAATAGGAACCTTTGTCGAACCGATGGCGACGAGTCCTTGGACTTGGTTGCGCGAAATAGTAATGAATATCCGCGAAGCTACAGGCGCGTCAGCTCATTCAGACAGTTGCTGGTGGCGAAACTGGCGGGGTAAGAAGCATCGCAAGAACTTACACTGTCAGCACTCGCTCCTCACCCGGCAGTGGTGGCATGGTCAGTGGATGTCGTTGATGTTGCGACGTTCAAGAGAAAGCGATATACCACGAGATTGACTGTGGATGGAAAATAAGGGGAAAGAAGGCCCATCGACCAAGCGCAAGGCAGTGAGCGACATTTTAAACATCGGGAAGCCCATAGGAGGGGAAGATCTGACTGGCTTGTGACAGGGTGAGGAGATGCAGCGTGCAGAAGCCCGGCGGCTACAGAAGTACGACAGGCGATGTTTAATTGGTTGCCGCTTCGGCAGCTTGTGTATAGATGCCTGGAACAACAGGCATCACTCGGAAGCCGTGATTTTGTTTCTCCGAAAATTTCATCTGAGCTTCCCGCCGCATCCTCGGAGGTACTCTGGGTACCGCGACGCGATTGACGACCATACCTTTTGTTGCCTGCAGCAGAGCCTGATTCTTTCATCATCTCTTCGGTCTTGACGCCAACCCTCTGTTTTGCTTCTTGCAGGTACGAATTGTCCACTTACACCCCTTGTGGTTGTGCTGTGTTTGCTCACATTTCTCTCCGCCAGCGGTCTATCCATCCTGCTTTCCCGCACTGTGTATCCTGTCTTGCATTGGGAATTGACCACCGGTATCCGGTCTTACGAATCAAGATGTCTCTCACCAACCTCTCCCACGTTATCTCCCACCTGAACAATGTCACCAAGGCCCGCCTCGGTCTCACCTCGATCCCCAACACCAAGCTACACCTGAAGCTCTGCCTTGCGCTGCAAAATGACGGATTCATCTCTACCGTTGTTCGTGGCGGTCCGACCCCCCCCGCTCCGCATCAGCTCCTTGGCCACCCCAGCTCCGAGGACATCGAACCTGTGACCCAAGCGAACATCGCCTCCAGACGCCTCTGGCTCGGATTGAAGTACTGGCGCAGCGAGCCGGTTCTGGGCAAGATGAAAATGATCAGCACGCCCAAGCGGAGAGTTACCGCCAAGCTCGAAGTCCTCCGGCGTGTAGTCCAAGGTCACAACACCCCCTATATCGAGGGCCTGCGGTCGCCGGGTGAGAGTTTGTACATCTCGACGGATAAGGGCATCATGGAGGCGAGAGAGTGCGTTGAAAAGAAGAGTGGCGGTCTGGTCCTGTGCCGGATCAGGTAAGCTTGGGAGGGTGAAAAGGAGAGCTTCCATGTCTGAGAGTCGCTTGGGCTTTGCATTTTAACCGGAGTTTGGCCAGTCGCAGTGTCTCCTCGCATGCCGTGTATGTTCATATTGTCTTATTATTTGCGACTGTTGGTTGGATACCTTGTATAGTAACATAACTCATTTTCCTTGATGCATTATTTATATTGCTCTGTCGAGCATCTCTTCGTGGCTCGCACCGTGACGACTGCAGGCGATCCAAGTCTGGACTGAGGTGCCTGCTGGTCAGCAGGCACTGGAAGGCGCTCGGTACTCGAGTCGGTCACCCTTCTGATTCCGGGAGTATATTAGAAGTCATGCGACTGGTGAGCTTCGGCCATCGCATGCCATGCACCTTGCGGCAGCCATGAGCTATAAGGGCGCTCGCTGAGTTGTTCTAGTCTCTGGACTATGTATTTAGCGACTTTATTGACCGATAGCATCTAGCATTCCTGCCTCTAAGGTCGGTTCTTTGTCTTCAACCACTTGCGATTGGCTGAATGCAGCTCAGAAGACACGACAACCGGCCATGGGCCTGTCTGCTGAGATCTTTTCTACCATCATAGCTTGGGAGTTTGATGTTGGTCTGCTTCAATGTGGACGAGAGTTCTTTTCTTTTTCTGCTGCCGGGCTAATCTTGAACCTCGCGAGAGGTCGCCTGATCGTAGCTTGCTTTGAAACTAGAGAAACTTTTTCTACGATCGCTTCCAGTCTTATGACTGGGTACATGGCAGCGTCAGAACAGTTGTTTATCGGATAGACCCGTCGGGACCGGCTATGTTGTTCTGGATTCTTCATTCCGGCTGTAGCATGCTGTTAATGCCGCAACGTCCGCATCAGCTAGTCTGCCTGTTATGCTCGGCTCGACGGAGATTCCTTGTCTTGCGAAGCAGCCTAGGAAGGTAGTGTCGTGTCGCTCGATATCCGCTCATATAGCGGCCAAGCCTATGGGAGTTTGTTGTCGGGAGGTGATGCCGGTGAGAATTCAGGGAATGATAGCGTTAGGCCGCCACCGGACGCTCGTAGATGTGGTGCCAGTTGAATATTTGCCGTGATCGCCGACAGGTCAAGGCGATAATTCTATTACGGAGCTCGTGTTGGGTCCCGTATTCGACCTGCGGTGGTTGTTTCCTCGGAACAAATGCGTATATACCGAGACTGGACGGACATGCTGCTGACTGACTCGAGCAATGGGAAATAGGTCGTTCCTTGCGGAACGAGTTATCGAAGGCTGGCCATATGTAGGACAGTGAAACCGGGAGTTGTAAACGAAATGACATAAGACAGAGGCTCCGGTTGGCTTTGGCTTTAAGCATGGCAGAGGAGAAGTTCGTTGCCCGGGATTGGCACACCCACGAATCAGTGTTGCTCCCTTGTCGGGAAGTTACCTTAGCGACCTCTCGTTGGGTCGCAATAACGTACACTGCACCATGTTTGAAAACCCCGTACTCCGGCATTGTCTCACCATTGGTGTCTGGATCAATCGATCGGATCATCGGTCAATTTGAAAAACAAGAGCTTATTCGTCCCCCTCTCGCGTTTTCCTTGATTACCGATCATCATCATCATCATCATCATCATCATCATCTTCTTCTTCTTCGGATCGATGATCTCCTGCTAATGCCAACCTCACCCATACCGGGGTCGACAGGCAATGATGGTTCCGGACACTACCCATCTTGCCAGGGATCCCAGAATTCCATTAGTATGCGATGCCTCCATTTCGTCTTTCAGGATTGGAAATGCATGGTTTTATAGCCAATAACTCAGTGACGCTATTGCTGCGTGTCGGTGGCCTAGACGAGCATTGCGGCCGCCAAATGATTGCCCGCGCCAATAGAGTGTTGGCCAACACATCCGCTCTGGGCTTGGGCAACCAGGCGTGCAGCAAAGTGTCTGCCCAACATCCTCGAGGGATCAATGGCAATCAGGTTGAGAACTGCAAGCTCCCCACACTCAAACCTCGACTGTTGGGCCGCCACCCGTGTGGTATGGAGCAGCAGTTGATATCTGCTTCCGACCCACTCCTCATTGTATCTCTAGTGTGTTCATTATTATTGCCCTTTTTCCTATAGAGTTGTCGGGGCGCGCCGTGGTCATTTTCGAATGCTAAACGACAAGGCTTTCAAAGCTATCTCCCAGCGAGGGTCCGTGGTGGTATTGGTGGAGTCAATGCTAGTGTTGACTATGGTTATCTATCATGGTGTTCAGGTCAGTACCTGGATAGATTGAATAGTTATCAGCGGATTGGCATTGAAGGATCTATGAATAGATAGATGGTCAGTGGAGACGGAGACCATAATAGGGAATCGAAATATCAGGCTATGGTGGGGATCGGGATTGTACCAGGTTAGCTGGCTGGTTTGCTTGCTTTAATTGCTTGCTTTGATTTAGTGACAATGACTGGGTACCTTAGTTAGCAGGATAGTAGTGTCGGGAGTAGTTTGATATTGCCTCAGGGCGAGGGCAGGCAGGCAGGCAGTCGGAGGACTGAGGCATCCACCACTCTTCTGCCCTTTCCCGAAAGGGATGATCAATCAATCATCCTCAAACTGTCAACTATGGAGTACAGTATCCGTACACACCGTGCTTTCCCCACCATCCCATCCCCTTTCTTCTTCTTTGATGCAGTATTCAGCCACCAGTCACTCACTCTAGTCCTCTTCGACCAAGTGGAGACACTGAAAATGCTGGCGACAGGCAAGGCAGAAGAGGGACCAAACGGGATCATCCACTCTGTGCCCAGGAACTCTAAACAGAAGCAGTCTCCCGCGCCAACTGCCAGTCTGCCACTGAATACCTAGAACCTGCATTGGGTCAATTGCCTGGATATGTCGTCCTCCCTTCATTTAGTGGATGCATCTTCCCTGCGCAATCCGGCCGGTCCTTTGCTGCCCAAACCCCTACGCAATGCATCACCGAATCCTTCAACTCCTCTTCTCTTACGTTTGGTTTTGACAACCGCGGTTGGAAATGAGATCAGCGCCTGAGAGTTGGCGATAGCCTGCTAATGGATAGTTTGGCTGCCTCTTGCAGCCGGGTTCATCCATGGCCCTGTACCCCATTATGCCTGTGCAGCTCCCCACTCTCTCCGTTCTTATTGTCGTGAATGCCGCTTTGCTTATTACCATGGCCTAATTATCGTGGACCTAGCCGTGCCGGGCGTCTCTGGCTCAATCGATCCTACTAGCTTGCCCTGTCAATCGAAAGGAGCACTGTGGGGTCGAACCTCGATTGGATATGGGTCCGAGATTGATCCTTTGTCGCCGTATATACAACTGACCTATATGACTACCGGTGGGCACGCGGTTGCTCTCTGACAGGGACGGGTTGCCTTCCAGGCTGATCGAGTCTCCCAGTTGCCACTGCTGTGGAGCTCTTCATGTCCTCTCCTTCTTCGTACCTCACACGCTTTAGAGATAAAAAGCTTATCTGGCTCCTGCAACAAATCGTTATTGTACCTGCCATTCATTCAAGTCAGGTTGTTTTTATAAACGTCTTCTCTATTTGTTGTGAGATTCAGCCTTCGATGGTCTGGACTGACTCGCCACCGTCCTTCACAATTCCATAACCACTCAGCTCCCCAGTATTGTTCGTCACTATCTGATACCAGTCACTATAGCTCTTGACATTCATGCCACCTGTTCTTTCGCCTCCATTGATCACCATGTCGTCGGGCCTCAGTTACTTTTCGCGGGTAACAGGAAGCAGTGGCTCTTGTACGCAGTCCATTGGCAGCGATGATTCTTGGTCTCATCACAGGTTAGCATGAATCGAGATCTTCTGTATCTCGTCTTACTCAAGGACATCCAAGTCATCTGGAGGGCTCACCTTTTGCAGTGGCATTGCGCCCCAACATCCGCCGATGTATGGGACTCCGAGCGAAAGTCCTATCATTTACCACCCAAGGTACCAATTCATCTTGTACTACTATTCGTCATCCTCTCCAGAAGCATTATTGACCGAGGGAAAACTTACTCATAAGCAGCTCTACAAGGATGTCACCACCCCACGTTGAACGTGGACCCATGAACGTCCCGAGTGCTGCGGCGAGGGGCCCCAAACCTATTTCACCGGATTTTAACTTCTCCATGCCGTACAGCGGGCTGCCAGTGACTTCCCAGATCAATGCCAATATAGCTGCACCATCAGGAACTTCACTACCACGCCCTACCCCTCATTATCCGGAGTGGGACCATCCTGCTCGCTTGCCGGCGGAGACTTTGAGACGGGAATATGACTTCGCTAGATCTTTCGAGACACCGGAATACATGGTTGAGAGAAACAGCCGACGGGCTGGTGACAGAGTTAAGGGCACAACCCGATATCATTCACAGAGAAGACCATCAAACCGGGATGAGTTTGACGGCCCCCACCAATTACTTGAGCCTCCCTCTCCGCGTGTGATCGCGGCACAAGGAAGGGACTTGCCTCATCTACCTACTAATCTTGATGTTTCAGAACAAGATCGTATCCTGTCCTCGGTGAACGACCGACTATCGCAGTGCGCTTTTGACTTTGTTGCAAAGTACCAGTTTCCAATCCCACTGGAGCCTGACAAGAGACAGGTGAGAGTTCCCTCAGACCGTGAATGGACTGAGTGGGTATACCTCCTCAAAAGACTGGCCACCAAACGGCGGATCCCCGCCAGGGTCCTGTATAATGGCCAGATCAAGCAGTTAGTCACCATACTGGAGAACTCCTTGGAGATGCGCCATGCTGCCAAGCATCAATCTAGGCCCATCAAGGACGATCGCAACGTCCTTCAGCTTATCTCTGCCGGCACGCAGGTGGCCAAGATTCTGAAGGATGCCGCCGCGATGGAGTACCTTGACCATCTTTATGTTGACACGGAGAAGCGCATTCAGGACCGGCGCAGTCGCCGAGTGAAATTTGTCGGCCCTTGACCTCGGATATTTGACCCTCAGTGATGATATTAATGAGTTTTCCTTCTTGGTCGTGACCACGATTCTACCATGTTATAGACCCATCCGGCTGGAACAAGCCAGTCTGCCATTTCCGTCAGGCGTTCCCCTTGTCCACTGGAGGGTAGCCCAAGGAAGTTACTCCCCGGAGCCACATGCTTTCGTCTCCCTTGGACCATTTGGACCCTTTTCCAGTGACTTTGCCGAAGTGGTGAACCTGAATTCGGATTATGCGAGCGAAGCCATGACATCCGCGTCCGAAACCCAACCAAGGACTCCCATTCCCAGACAATCCTTGGTCTGGGGATTGACCTGGCCTGATGATAACGATAAAACCATGCTGTTACTTGATAAGTCTTTTACGCGATCAAGAGAATTCACAGCCCCTTGCTGCCAT